GTCCACCTGCCAGCGGGGGAGGGGCGCGGCAGGCACCGCGGGTCACAGGTCGTCGGGCCGCCGGTCGTCATTCATAAGGCCTGGCGCAGGATAGCAGCAGCAGGCTCGGAGTCCGGGCCGGGGTACTCTGGGTCTCCGTCAGCCACAGACCGAGTTTCAGGAGGATGCTGGGTTCCGAGAGCCAGGGGATGTTGTGAGAGGGGCGCTCAGTATCCATCCCTTTGCTGGGCGCCCACCTGGACTCATGCCAGTAGTATGAGCTGGCACTCGTTAAATACATTACTTTGTTACTACACTCCTGTCACATAGGTACTATTATCATCACTCCCATTTTACAGATGAGGAAGATGGGGGTGCAGCCAGGCTGAGGATTCCCTGTCTGGGCAATGCAAAAGGAACCTGCCTTCCTAGAACATAGTAGCAAGATGCCCCTTCCTTTAGGGTGCCCTTTTAATACACAGCCTGAGGAGGTCAGTTTCCCACTGCCACGTTACTAACGTTCGGGGCCGGATCATTCCCTGCCGAGGGGCGGGAGGCATCTTGTGCACTGTAAGGTGTTTAGCAGCATCCCAAGTCTCTCTGTCCACAGTAGAACCTCCGTCTCCTATGCCACTTTTGACAACCAAAACCATCTCTAGACATTGTTACATGTGCCCTCGAGGGCAAAACTGCCTCCAGTTGAGAACTACTTAAGTAGAGGAAGGCCCAGAGGTGATGGGAGGGGCGGGAGACTAGAGCCAGTCCTCCTGGGCTTGGAGGGGCTAACTAGACTCAGGTCCACAAGCCAATTCACTGCTCTGTCTCTAGACTTGTACAACCTGCACCCCACCCAGCAGCTGTCTGGACCCACATTCCTAAGGCGACCAAAGTCTCAGGGAGAGGAGTCAGGGTTTTTCTGTGAATTATGGGGAAATGGCTCACTAGCCAAACCACTCCATCTGGGCTGTGGAGTTACAAAGTAAGGTTAAGTAAAATTTAATAAAAATGTTACTGTGTGTGTCCTTGGAGCACAGTGTTAATTTCTTCCTGCAGGTCAAGGTCAAAGTCTGAAAAATCACTGTTTATGCTCTATCTACGGAACAGCCGGCTTGCTTAAGTTTTGTCAAGAAAAACCCTTCCCTGGACCTCAGTTTGGAATACAACTATAACAATTAAGACTAGAGTAAGAAGCTGTACAAGGAGACAACTAGTAGTCAACCTGCTGGCTGGGGCAAGAGGCTCCCTGCTCTCCTTTAATGAAGAAAGATGGACAAAACTGCCTCAGCCCACCCGAGACAAAAGCAGATACAGTCTAGATGAAGTGCTTTTTATTTTTAGACCAACCAAACATATTTAATATAAAAACCCTTTAATATACAAACTGTAATCACAACAGCATCCACATAGCAGCGAGGGGACGAGGGTGCAGGTGGGGAGCATGGCGGCGGGAGGAAAGGTTTTCAGGGCTCCTACTACTTCCCTTGTCTGTACTCTGTGGCCTATGAGAGCATGAGTTCTTAGCAGAGGGCAGATCAAGGCAGCCAGAAGCAGAGGGGCCCTGATACCGACACTGGGACAGACCAAACACAGCAGGCCCCTCCAGCATGCCATCCTGTCACAGTGGCAGCCTCCAGGGAAAGCCACATCCAGTTAGGAGGTATCAGGAAGGTGGTTGTGACTGAGAGGAGAGTCAACCATCTTTCCTCAGCATCCTGCTGATCACCCTCAGGAACAGTTTTCCAGAGAGCTGTTTGATTGAAAAGAGCTAAAAATCATCTTAGGAGAGGGACAGAAACTAATTCCAAATCCACCTCTACAAAGACTCCTGGCCTGTGACTCCAGAAAGCTGGGTGGTTCTGCTCAGATGTTTGGGAAGGGAAAGAAATGACAGAGCCTTTGGCCCAACAGGGCCGGAGCCTTGCCAGGCATTGACCAAGAAAGCCTCAGGGCAGGCCAGCGAGGTCTGTGGGAAAAGAGCTTTGGGTCAATGGTACTCATGGGAGCACCATGGCACAATGGCCTGCAGGTGGAGTTTACAGTGCGCGTGGAAGACAGGAAGAACACAAGTCAGAAAGAATGAAGAACTCAAGTACCTGCTTCTTTCAGGCCTGGGCAGTAGAGGTGAGATGATCCTTCTGGGCCAGGGCTAGGAAAGACCCGAGGCCCCTTCCTTCCTCGGGGCCAAGTTTGACTGGCCTGGATATAGCTGACGGCCCCAAAGTCCTCAATATGGCCTCCACAAGACTGTCCGTGAGGCCTGGCTGCCCCCTCCAGATGTGCCAGGAGACTGGCCGTGGTCCCATCTGGGCCCAGAGTCCCACAGTTAGATGCAGTCCATGGAGTTCTCAGGGAGGAGGCCAGGGATGCAGCCAGGGAGACCCAAGCCCTTGATGGGAGTGCAGCTGAGGGGGAGGCCACAGCCCAGGGTGGGGTCCTGGTTCTCTATGGCCTCCAGCCTGTCTGTGTTGTTGTCCCAGTTGATATGGAAGCGGGTCACCCGGGGGTTTGAAGCCAAGATGTTCCGCTGGAGCTGGGGCAGGAAGAGGAACATCAACACTTGTTAGCACACCGTCTAGCTACTCCCATAAAGCTGGGGCATTCCCAGACCCCCACCGCAAGCCCAGGAAGAGCAGACCTTGCTTATTCCATCACCACCAACAATACGTGTAGAATGCAAGGGAATGCCTGTGCAGTGATTCAGGGCCGGGGCCTATCTAATCTTTATTCTGTGAGGCAAACTTCTGACAAACAAAGACCTTTCTCTCTCCTGTTCCAGCCCCATGCTGCCAGATCTGAGCACTACTTGAAAACTTTAAGAAGTGACATTGGCTTCCAAGTCCAAGGACTCAACTAACCCCAGGTGCAAAAGAGCCTGCCTATCTGAAGCAGGAAGTGCAGAGACAGGCCCCACCTGAGAGAAGTCTGGCTTCAGGGGTGGGTTCTCCCGCAGCTCAGGGTTGGGGTACTCGTTGTTGACATAGTAGCCCACTCGGATGAACTCCTGTCCATGGTAGGTGCAGGTGATGAGAACCACGGTCACACCCACGGCGTCGGTCTCCGGGATGAGGGATGGATTGGGGGCATCAGCCTAGGGGGAACATATGCTGGGCCTTAGCACTGATTGCCAGTCACGCCTTAACTGGTAATACGATTCTCAGGCAACACATCTTTACTGAGCCAAAAGTATGGTTTCTGCCCTTGGGAGTTTTCAATCGAGTAGGGAAGACAGAATCAATCATACAAATGGCTGTAAAATGCCAAATGTGACAGATGCCATCCAGGAGAAGTACATGGTGCTAAGGAGGAGTATAGTAAGCAAGGAGGAGATTGGTATAAAATGAGGCTGAACAGGTGGTCAGGTAGGTATCAGGGCAATCATGGCCTACTGGGCCAGTTCAAGGGCTTGGGAAAGACCGAGAACATTTAGCAAGATGTAAGTATGGCATCGCTCCTGTCTGAAAAGCTGCCTCTGGAGGCCAGTGGAGCTGTGATAGGAGGAGGTGTCAGTGGGGTCAAGGAGACTAGGCAGGAGGCTACAGAGGTCATCCTGAGAGAAGGACAGTGGCCTGGACCAGGCAGTAGAGAAAGACAGAAGTGGACAGATCTGGCGTGTGTTGTTACTGACAGGATCAGCTACGTAAATGGTGCAAAATGAGACCAATACAAAATGAGACCAATACAAAATGAAACCACGGAGCCTCCTGTTCAAAAATTGTTAAGTTTCAGCCAGTGACAGCAGAACATTATAGCAAGCGTGGGGCCCTGTGTGACTGCATGCCCAGGAAGCCGGCCCTGCTTGTTGGGTAGACAGGGCTGGTGGACTGGATGTAAGTGGGTGAGGGCTTAGGTGATGGGATGAGGTTGCTTAGACTGGGGCTGGAATAGCCAAGGTGGAAGTTAAGTGAATGGATTTGAGCAGAGGCTCTCAAACTTAAGTGTGCCTAAGAATCACACTGAATCTGCATTTCTGACAACCCCTGTGATGACGGGTTAGAGAGCCATTGAGCTGCTGCAGTGGATCCTTCTTATTCACAGATTCTGTATTTGTAAATTCGACTACTTGCTAAAATGTACTTATAACCCCCCAATCGATATTCTGGGGCTTTCACGATCATTCGAGGACATGCACAGAGCAAGGGATTTGAGTAGCCCAGTGTGTGTGTTTCCAGCTGAGGTAGAACGAGGTAACACTGTCTTTTTGTTCCAGCTCTCAGACTGTAAACGTGCTTCCTTTTTTGTGGTCTTAGTTTTTTTGCATTTTTTGTGTTTTGCTGGTAATTTTGCTGTTTAAAAGGGCCCCAAAGCATAGTGCTGAGTGCTGTCTAATGTCCACAAGAGCGAGAAGGCTGGGATGTACCTGACGGAGAAAATCCGTGTGTCAGATAAGCGTTATTCAGGCGTGAGTTATAGTGCTGTGGGCCATGAGTTCAATGTGAGTAAACCAACAATACTACTAAGCCAGGGAATCTTTAAACAGCGAAACACACAAGTTTAAGTATTGACTGGCTAACAAAAATGTGACTCACAGGAACCTAATCCTGTATTCCCTCTAGTATTCACTAATTCAGCGTTTGCAGCAACTTTATAGAGCAAAACTCCCAGGAATAATGAGGCTCAGCTGTCAGTCAGTGGCTCCTGGTAACAGCTGTGACATAGAGGTGGAGGAGAGAAAGGTATTTGAAGCACCTTTGAGGTCAGACAGGGCTTGAGAGCAGAGCCAGGGTTTGAACCTGCACTTTGGACCACTGAACCACTGTGCGTGCTTCTGGGTAGAAGAGGATGTTTCTAGGCGTCAAGGCCTAAGGGATTCTTACCTGAAAGATGAACATGTGTCTCCCTGCTGGGACAGGGCCAACCAGCACCGAGTCTAGGATTTGATCAAACTCCTCACTTTCAGCTGAGCCAACATAGATGATCTTCCACTCTAGGTCTGCAAGGATACGGGGCGTTAAGGAATTGAAAGAGCTTGATAGCAAGGTCGGGAAGGGGGTCTTCTCGTGTTAGTTTTGGAATAAGTCCTTAATGCACATAGATTTTTATACCCAAGAACACCTGACATCCACTGGGCATTATATGCCAGGACTGTGGTCCTGAACACTGGGGGAGGTGCAAAGCTCTATTTCCAGTGGGGAAATTTCTCCTGTGAGCCTAGCTTTGTCAGATGACCTTGACCCTGCACCTCTGGGGAAAATCGGGCCTCGTAGAGCCTGAGGGTGAACTCTATGGCAGAGGTTGAATTAAGAGCCACGTGATGGAGGCACAGAGCCGGGCCGAGGAGGGAATGGCAGGGATTTGGGCCATTTCAGGGCCCTGCCCTCTGGGTGCTGGGATAGGAAGCAGCATCCTCTTTCACACACAGGGACCGGTGCCACCGAACTGAGTAGATCCCTCGACAACTGGGGCAGGGCAGTAGACTGCAGTCCAGCAGGAGAGCCAGCCGGCGGAGAGGGAAGACAAGGTCGCTGGGAGAGCCGGCCAGTTCCCAGGTCCTCCAAACCCGGCACCAAGTCCTGCCTGCTCTCAGACATTCGGGCAACAGTGACTCGGGACAAATGTGGCATCATAAGTCAAATCCTCTGAACCCCAACTTTCTTGCATCCTGTCCAGTAGGGGGACCCCCATGCCTGGGTATGTTCCAGCAAGATAAAAGGAAAAGGGCTTAATGAGACCCTGCCCATCAATCACAGGAAATTCCCAGTGACTGTGGCTGCTTGCTGGAGGTCCAAGTGTATCAGGGACAAGGTCACGCTAGTACAGGGAAATTTGGCAAGAGACCTGAAACTTATTTTAGGTTCTTTGAAATTACACAACCCATGGCTCCAGCAGCCGGGGAAAGTTTCACAAGTGGCAATTTTCACAGGAAGCAAACTGTTCCTTGGTCCCATAAGAGCATCCAACTTTGGAAGTACAGCAATGCCGGGCCATGACTAGGGAGGTTTGTCACCTGAGCTCCAAGCTCTTCCTCGACACACTGGCTTCACATCCCTTTGCAGTTTATATACAGGCCTTCTACTCAGAGACCCTAGCAGGTCTGTAGGATATGGTGGCCACTGGGCTCACTGGGATTCAGTCAAACTCATCTCTTATTATTTGTAGGGAGGAGTTAAGTTTATTGATTTGTTTTTGTTACAAGTAGTGACAAAACTAGATACAACATGTTTTTGGACGAAGAGAAAACAAGCTAGCTTTGTTCTCACTCTTCCAACAAGCTCTATCATTTGGTATATTTCCTTCTGGCCTTTTTCCCCATCACCAGTGGAGTCACGGAACATGCATGTGCATTTAACTAATGTGCTGGGAGGAAACAAAAGATTTAAATAGCACACAGGCCTTGGTGTATGCCATGGGCGCTCCGTGTTCAATACAGTTGGCAAAACCTAAACAAAGACTGTGGGTGCAGACCGGAAGAGAGAAACGCAGGCAGCCAGGTAAACGGGCTGCAATGGCTCCCTCTGCACAAGCTGGAAAGAAACCAGAGAATTAACCAAGGACCACAGAGAAATCCTGACTCAAAGAGTTAGAGGAACTGATAAAATCGTCTATGGAAGAGAGAAGATGACTGAAATGAGGACCTACAAGTTGGAATCTCCTTAAACCTGCTAAAGCTGTAAGCAAAAGCGTACTTAAGCGATTCCAGTTTTGAATTAGATATGGGGCATCAATCACCTACACAGCACAAGCTCATTTCTAGTGAGGACAGGACACGATTGCACACACGTGACATTGTGTACCTAACCTTCCAAGCAATTTCAAGGGTAAATTGACTATGTTATGTTTTGTTTTTATGCCTTAGCTTTATAATCTAACCACTGCATAAGATGCTCCTCCACCATGTATGAAAACAAAACTAAAACCAACAATAAAAGACATGTAAAAAAAATTATCGTAGTTGAACTAGCTGGAGAATCTGTTTCCTGCCTTAAGAAAAAAACACAAAAAAACAAAAAACTTATCTAGTAGGTATTTTTGTGTATCACTTTGCCTTTGTTTGTATCATACAGATAAACCTTGGCCTGACCACTGCATGTTAGGTGTGGGTCAGAACGTCTGGATCCAAGACTTGTTCAAGCAGTATCTGTTGAATTCCTCAACCAAATAGGGGAACAGCACATCTAATGTGTTGACTGTGGACCAACGCGTTGGAAGCATCTATTTCCAGATGCTGAGAAGAGAGAGCAAAAGGGGTTTGGAGCCCTTGGGATAATTGGTCAACTGACTGAATGGTGGCTGGTGTTCAGAGCTTCAGTCACCAGTGTCAAGGTGACAAGACTGACTGAGATTTCTCCAAGATCTAAGAGACTTCTAAAGCCAGGCTCACTCCATCTGTTTGGGAGACAGGAAACAAGTTCTCTCTGCTCTGTGGGAAGAGGCAGAAAGCAAGTTGGCAGGTCAGAGTTAAGGAGAGCCCTAGGGCTATAGCCAAGGAGTCTCAACTTCCAGGCCAGAGTTGGCTTTCCAACTGGAATTTCTCTGAACAAAAGCTTTATTGTCCAGGTATAATTAATAATAGCACCCCATTTTCCCCTTTTGACAGTGTTCTTATGTGGAAACAAATTCTATGCTCAGTCCTATTTATGCTGCACTTCTAAAATAGGGGATGCAATCTTTCTTTACCAGGTTATAGAAAAGATAAAGAACCCTGGACAGAGAACTCAAAGACAAGACCTAGCGTCAATAATTCTACAAACCGGCTATGTGACCTTGGAGAAGTCATTCCATTTCTCTCTATTAAAAAATAATGACCAGCAGGTTGACTTTAGTCTTTCCTGCTCTCATTCTATGAACAAAATAGTAAAGTAACAGAGCAGGGGCGTTGTAGGAATAAAAGTGCTAGATAATGACCATGCAACCATTTTTAAATGCAGGGAGCACAAACAGGCTGATTGAAACTTGATCTCCTGCCATCTGGGAACTGTGAATCCCTTAACCTATTAGCTCCTTACATCTCCTCCTGGCTTTAAAATTAAATCTTATTCCACAGGGTCATTCTATACTTTATTTATTTATTTACACCCTGTCTTGTTCCAAAAAGGATTTAACTGGGCTTATTCTATAGTTAGTCACAAGTAGACTCCTTAATTTAAAAAGGAGAGAAACCAGGGAGAGACTGATCCATTGGCCCAGCCCAAGCACACACACACATCAAAACTGCATCAACCCCAGCCTGGTCCAAGTGGCCGATCTGCGGGCAAACCACCTGCCTACCACTGAGAGGTGCTAGTTAGCACCCCCCTGGCCTCACAGAACTCCACCCGCTTGGCTGCTGCCTCTTCTCTTTTAACCACCAAGTGAAGTGGTCAAATGGAGTACTTCCTCCTGAAAGTGGTGCCAAGACTCACTCAATGACCTGAGATTTTTCGATTTTTATAGACCTTTACTTGAAAGGTCTTTTCCTCTTTGTGGCTCCCGTCTTCTCATCTGTGAGATGAGAGCCATGTCCACCTTTATCGCACAGAAGAAATAAGTACATCTGTGAAAGCACCTTGGAAAAGATACACAAAAGGTTGTGACCTCCCAGCTGATTGTTTAAAGCCTGATCCTGCCAGGGCTCAACCTGGCACACCCACCCCCAAGACTAGGTCAGACCATCAAAAGTGTTGGGATTCTGCTGCAGTAGGTCAGCAGGAATCTGGCCAGCAAACAGTAGGAAACTGCTAATGCTCTCCTGGCCAGGCCGCCCCTCAGATTTGAGTGTGATCATTGAAGTCCACAGAGAGGCGGGAGGAACAGGAGCTGGGGAGACCGGTTATCTTCAAAGCCTGAAGCCAGAAGCCAGGCCATACTCCCCAGGTGGAGCAGAGGGCTGGGGCCAGACTAAGGAGGGAAGCCTGGTTAAAGGCGTAGAAAACAAACAGAAGTGGGTGAAGTTGGGGTTGTTTAAATATCAGCAGGTAGGGGAGGAGATTATGGGGAGACAAATGGGGAGATGGAGGTGAGTGAGGTCTTGCCATAGGAAGAGAGGGTCTTCACAGGGAAAATGGGGAAGGGGGCTGAGATTTCCATATGGGAAATAGGAGGGGGCTGGGGTTTCCGTAGGAGAAATTTGAGGGGGCTGGATGTTGGGGTTCCAATAGAAAAAAAATTAGGCGGAGTGTCTCGTTACAGGGGAAAAGGAATTGGTGGGGAAGACTGGGTGGCTGGAATGGCAATCTGCTCATACAGAAATAGAAGGTGGGGGTGTTTCTTACTACAGGGAAGACGGGGTGGCTGAGGATCTCTGCAGGTTAAAGAAAGGAGGCTGAGGTCTCAACATAGTAAACGGGTGTCCAGGAGGAGCGCCACAGGAGAAAGAGGAGGATGATGAGGTCTCCATGGGGGAGAACGGGAGTAATCGTGAGGGTGGGGGGTGGGGGTAGTCTCCAAAGGGAGGTTGGGGCTGGAGGGGGGTTGGTTCACGGGAGATCGGGGTTTGGGGATAAGGGGTGTGTTTCACAGGGTTGGCCTCCGGGTAGTCTCCAAGGGAAGGTCGGGGTTGGCCTAGGGGAGGGGGGTGTCTCCACACAGGCCCAGCCTCACCGTCCGCCAGGGCCTCATTGCACTCGAAGCTGATCTCGAACCGGAAGGGGCTGTGGAAAGGGCTCGGATTCTCCAGCACCGCCACGTTCAGCACCGACACCTTGGCCATCGCCTCGTCGGGCAGCGGCTGAGGCTAGAGCTGGGGCTAAGCCCGCGTCTGGTTCCCGTAGGGTCAGCAGAGCAGCGTTGCCCAAATCCACTCCCGCCTCTTCTGACCGCGGTCTGAAGTGCGTATCTTGTCCGCGCGCCTCCTTCAAATAGCCGGCCCCACCTTCTGGCCAATCACCGTCAACGCTCCCCGACGGCGCGAGCACTCCCTCAGCCAATCCTGGAGCGCCGGTCGGCGCGCGCTGACTACCGGGACCAATCCGTGGAGCTCCCTCTCCAGGATGCGGGAGGGAGGTGGGACCTTTTCTTAGCTTCTTTGGGTGTCCGCCGGGAACCAATCCCCAGAGTCTCCGACTCGGAAGTCAAGGGCGGGGTGGGCGGGGTCAGAGCGCGGGGCTCCTCCTGGCCAATCCCGAGGGCCCCCGCACTAGGGTGTTCGGCGCTTAGCCCCGCCCTTCCGGGAGACGCATTCAGCAGTGGGCAACGCTGCCAACCGCCGAGCGGTGGCGCGCGGCGCTCGCTCAAGAGGGCGGGAAGGGCGGTGCTTGACCCGCGGTGATTGGCAGGGAGGAGTGGGGCGGGGGTAAAGCAGGTTCTTTAAGAGGTGATTGGCTGAGTCGGCCGCGGGGCGGGAAGAGGTAAGATTCGGTTGGGGATTCGTGCGAGACGATCGGAAGTTGGCTGCTGTCGCGGTTGTGCCTGGTGTTCGGAGAAAGGAGGAGCGTTTGCGGACTCGGTGTCTGTCAGCAGGTGAGCGTTGCCGGAAGTTTCTCTAAAGGGCTCCCGGCCCTTAAGGCCCAGCGGCCTGGGAGTCCGTTGTGAACGTTGTGAACGTTTAACTCACCCCTGAAGGGAGAGAGTGCGGCGGTAATGCGGTTCGCTGGGGCCTGGGACCCGGGAGTCAGGCCTGGTTCGAATGCCGCCCTGCCCTCGCGAGAGCCTCTGGGAGGTTTCAGGTGGACAACCCTGTAAATGGGAGTTCGAATCTGATCTCTGCCACTCACCGCTCGAGGTCACGTTTCCCCGCCGTTTGAACCGGGTCATGAAATTTTACTGGCATGATTTATGGCTACATGATAGAAACTTCTAGAAACTTCTCTCCATCCACACGCCTAGCCCGGACCACCGTCGCTCCCTGTCTGGAAGACTCCAGGAACCTCCACACTCAGTCTCTCTGCTTCCAGACGCAACAACATCCCTAATTTTACACTTTTCTATAGTATTCACGTTAAAAAAAAGTTAAAAAAGAATAGGCTAATTTAACTTTAATATATGTAACCCAGTATAGCCAAAGTGTCATTTAAACATGTGATCCATATTAAAAAAAACATCTGGGGTATGTTACATTTCATTACCCAATATTAAGGATCTGAAATCCTGTGTGTGTTTTACACTTAAACTGCATCTGTGATTCAGGTGCTACATTTTTACCGGAAATAGTTTAGGTTTCATATGGTTTACCGCTGAAGTATAGGTTCACACACCCAAGCTGTTCCCAGCATAGTTAAAAGTTTTTCATGAGCCCAATCTTTTTTGGTTTCTTTTAAATTGAAGCGTTACTTGATTTAAAGTGACACAGAATGTTCGCGTTTCACAGTGGCACTAGCCACGTTCAGGTGCTCATGACCTCCTGTGCCTGCTGTATTATTGGGCAGTGCAGCTCTGAAACAGATTGGATCAGTCACAACTGCTTAAAATGTAAGTGGTTTTCTATTGTTGTCAGTGTGAGAGTACTTTCTTCAAGGCCCTACATGCATTGTTTCTTACTCCCCACCCAGCTCCAACTTCAGTTCAGCAGACTGACCCTCTTTTTGTTCCATGAAAATCTGACATGGCACTCCCACCTTTTCTCCCAGCTCTTGGCATGGCTGGTACCTTCTTGTCATTCAGGTCTCTGCTCAAATGTCCTCTCCTGGGGAGACCTTTCCAAGGATCTCCTAGACAGTGTTCAGATTCACAGGGTGTAAGCCTGAACAGTTTCAAGCCACTAGCATTTCTTATCCAGCCTCCTCTGTGGCCTCTTGATGTCAGGCATTTTTGTATCTACATCTCACAATAAGTGAAAAAAAATTTTTGTTTTTTAATTGAAAGAATTCTTTTGCTTTCCCCATTGAAAAGATTTGGCTGCAAGAAAATTCACATTATGATTGGCTATGATTTCTTGGCAGTCACTGGGCATACTTGGGAATTTTTGTGACTTGAGAAAATCTAATTTTCAAATTATTTCCGAATGTAATTTGATTGTTTAAGAATATGAAATTTAATGATGAATGAAATTGTTATGATGTTATGTTTTCTAGACGTTTGATTAAACATTTATTCATTCCAACTTTGTAGTTTTCTTTTTGCATCATGGAACTTTTTTTTCCTTTATCCCCCAACCCCAGCCTTTTCATAGCCCCTAAAAAGCTCATCAGCCATGAGTATTATGTCTGTGGTGCTAATGAAGAAAGTGGCCCTGTCTACAATGCCTTCTCCCTACAGCTGGCTGAATAATCTTCATTTGTAAACCAGATCATGTCATTACTCTGCTTAAAACCTTCAAAAGCTTATCATACCTAGAATGAAACTTAAGATCTTTTCTGTGGCTTAGGAGGCCCTGCATGGTGGCCTCAGCTGACCTCTCAGGCCTCATCTATCAGTCTCTCTCTCGTCACCACTCTCAAGCCCTGCTGGCTTTATTTCCCGTCTTTCAACACACCGCATTTATTCCTGCTGCAGGGCTTTGCACTTGCTGTTCCCTCTGCCTGGAGTGTGCTTCCTTCACGTAATTGTGGGGCTGTTTCATTCTCATCATTTATGGTTCACCTCACATGTCCCTCCCAAAGGAGCCTTCTCAGACAACCCTAGTTAAAGTAGACCTTCATTAATCACAAAAGCCTGCTTTCTTATCTTAGGAACACTTACCAGAATCTGTATATATATATTGGTTTTACTTGTGTTTATTATCTCTTCATCCTTCAGTAGATTGAAAGCTGACTGAGGGCAGAGATCCCACCTGTCTCACATTGACCTCTCTGTATTTTCAGAGCTTAGCACAAGGCTTCACATATAGGAAGTCTTCAGTGATTTTTTTTTAAAAGAATAAATGTATATGAAGGATTAGCATAAGGGGGAGGTATAGCTCAGAGGTACAGCACATACTTAGCATGGACAAAGTCCTGGGTTCAATCCCCCAGTACCTCCATTAAAAAAATAAAATATCCTAATACCACCCCCCCAAAAAAAAGACAACTAAAAAGGAAGGGGGGCTAAGCATAGTACCTGGAATGTGAAAAATACTCCATAAACATGAACTGTTAGTAGTACATAGTAATAAGTCAACATTTTTCTTAGCTAATATTTCAGGTGCACTCACACTCAAAAAAGTATAAGAAATGCTGTAACAAAATACATTCTTACCCATTACCCAGCTTAGAAGTCAAACTTACTCATGCAGTTGAAAAGCCTTACATACCCCTGCCTCAAACTCATTCCTCTCTTCTTTTTCTCAAATGTAACTACAATTCTGGATTTGTGTATTCTTCTGTGTGTGTTTGTACATATTTAATATATGCCTTTAAACTATATATAGTATTGTATGTCATGTTCTCCAATTTTACATAAATAATATCTGTGCAAAAAGAACTACTAGAGCAGGCCTAAGCCTGCTATCCTTAGAAAGTCCTATTTGAAAGATTGGCCCTTGGCTGGTGTCTAGGAACTTGGATTTCAGGAGGTGCCTACCATTTCCTAAATGATACAGGTGGCTCATGGTGCCAAAACTGTACAGTGTGGTTTGTGTTGAACACCTGCTTTCCTTCTGGAGTCTGGAAGTTTGGTACTTGACTAGCCCCCCAGAATACCCTGGGCACTGAGTCTCTAATGAGCTTTCCTGATGGACAACATTTCACACGTGTTATCATAGCTCAGCTGTAGGAAGTAAGCACATCCCGTGTGACTCCACTGGGAGAAGACTCTTGGAAGCTTGTGCCTGGTTTTCTTCAGACTTTGCCCCATGAGCCTTTTCCCTTGGCTGATTTTGCTTTGTAACCTTTCACTGTAAGAAACCATAGCCCTGAGTAGGCTATATGCTAAATCCTTTGAGTCTTCCTAGTAAATCATTGAACCTACGGGTGATCTTGGGGGCCCCTGACACAGTATCATACCGGATATATCCTGACAGGGCTGGAACTAGGAGGAGGAAAGCAAGGGCACAAAATTTAAGGAGGCACTCATTGTCAGTCACACAAGTGCCAGCCTGTACCTGCATGACCCTGAGGGTGAGCGCCTCCTAAAATTTTCACTCTAGAAAACTAGCTTGCTTCACTCTGGTCCCAGCCCTGCCTTCTGAAGCTTGCTTTTTTTGGTCTAACATAATGATTTTGAGATGTATATATGTGACACGTGTAGCTCTAAGTCATTTTCACTGCTACATAGCTGTGCTGTTTGATGTGGTAGCCACATGTGGCTATTTGTATTTCAGTTAATCAAAATTAAATGAAAAATTAAATTCCCCAGCCACTTAGCTACTTTTCATATGTTTGATAGACACCTGTGGCTAGTGGCTACCACATTAGAAAACTTAAAGAATACTTCCATGATCACAGGAAGTTTTGTTGGACAGTGTTTACTTATCCATTCACCTCTTGCTTGATACTTGGTTTCCAGTATTCTACTCTTTCAAACAGCACTGTAGTGTTCATTGTTGTGTTGTGCACGCTCTCTGTGTACACATGCAGGAGTCTCCCTAGGATACGTATCTAAGAGTTGAATTGCTGGGTTTGGGGAATATTCACCTTTACTTGATATTGCCAGTTCTTCAAAATGATCACTCCAGTTCTCACTACCACCGGCAGTGTTGCTCTTGCTCAGTATCATTATCAACACTTGATATTGTCAGACTTTAACATGTTTGTATCTCTGATGGGTGTGAATTAGTGGTTTCAGTTTGCATTACCCTGATTATGAGTGAGCTTGAGCTTTTATTTGTGTTTATTGGACCATTTGCCTTTTGTGAATTGCCTGTTCATATCTTTGCCCATTTTCCTACTTGATTGTCCATCTCTTGAGTGCAGGAGTTCTTACATCTGAGACTTTTCCTCTTCATTTGTATGGTATCTTCTGATGTTCAGAATTTATTATTATCAGAATTATAAATCTTCTTACAGTTTGTGTTTTTGTGTGTGTGTGCCTTGCTTAAAAAATCTTACTCTGAGGTCAGTAAGATATCCTACTGTGTTTTCTTCTGGAAGTTCTACTTTTCATATTTAGCTTAAAGAAGAAATCTACCTGGAATTTATTTTTGTTTATGATGTGTGGTAGGACTGTGTTGTAAAAATTTTAATGTGGTAACCAGTTGTCCAGCTCTATTTACTGAGGAGTCCAGTGGTTCTTAAAATGTGATCCCCTGGGGATCCCCAAGAACCTTTTAGGGAATTCATGAGACAAACTAAAAGAATGATTCTAAGGCATCATTTGCCTTTCTCATTTACACTATGTGTTGTCATGTGCACTATTGGTACAAAAGTAATGATGGGTAAGGCTGCTGACCCCTCAAGCAGGAATCAGCGCAGTGTCACCATGATGTGGTAGCGGTTGCCATTGTATTCCTCACCACCACATACTCAAAGTTAAAACAGTTTCACTTAAGAATATCCTTGAAGAAGCAGTGAAAGTAGTAATTGTGTTCAAGCTTAGCCCTGCAGCAGGTCTAATATTCTGTGTGGCGAAATGGGAAGTTTGCATAGAGCAGTTCTGTCGCATGCTGG